CCATCAAATCAAGGATGGCAACAGGCCAATGAAACCCTCCGGTTCCAGGCCATATCCTCATATCTACATTCTGCAAAAAGATGACTGCCAGATAATGTAAAATGTTAAAATGTGGTGGTTCTTTTCTTTCTCTCAAGAGGAGTGTGTGTATGTGGGGGGGGGGGGGTTGATGGGGGGGCAAATGGGAATATTCTTTTTGCAATTTGTTTGCAAACTGTCCTGGTACTAAGTCTTTTTTTAAAAAAAAAGGGGGGGGGACTGCATATGAAACAAAGTCTGGAAACTGCACAGTCATAAAATAATAAAATAACAATAATAATAATAATAATAATAATAATAATAATAATTTCTTTTGAAAAGAAATCTGGGTCATTAGTGTCAGGACAGTCTGCAAGCAATATTCTTTTTGCAATTTGTTTGCAGACTGTCCTGGCACAAAGTATTCTTTTTAAGGGGGGAAAAACTACATATTACACAAAGTCTGGAAACTGCATGGTCATAAAATAATAATAAGAAGAATTATAATTATAATTATAAAGAAATCTGGGTCATTAGGGTCACGACAATCTGCGAACAATATTCTTTTTGCAATTTGTTTGCAAACTGTCCTGGCACTAAGTCTTTTTTTTTTTAAGGGGGAAAAAACTGCATATGCAACAAAGTCTGGAAACTGCACGGTCATAAAATTATTATTATTATTATTATTATTATTATTATTATTATTATATGACTTTGCAATTTCTTTTGAAAAGAAATCTGGGTCATTAGTGTCAGGACAGTCTGCGAATTTTGCAATTTGTTTGCAAACTGTCCTGGCACTAAGTATTTTTTTAAGGGGTGAAAAACTACATATTACACAAAGTCTGGAAAACGCATGGTCATAAAATAATAATAATAATAATAATAATAATAATAATATGACTTTGCAATTTCTTTTCAAAAGAAATCTGGGTCATTAGTGTCAGGACAGTCTGCAAATTTTGCAATTTGTTTGCAAACTGTCCTGGCACTAAGTCTTTTTTTCTTTAAGGGGGAAAAACTACATATTACACAAAGTCTGGAAACTGCAGGGTCATAAAATAATAATAATAAAAAAGAAATCTGGGTCATTAGGGTCATGACAATCTGCGAACAATATTCTATTTGCAATTTGTTTGCAAACTGTCCTGGCACTAAATCTTCTTCTTAAGGGGGAAAAAACTGCATATGCAACAAAGTCTGGAAACTGCACGGTCATAAAATTATTATTATTATTATTATTATTATTATATACAAAATGGCATCTTTCTGCTTAAAAATCACATCATACTAATTTATAAACCTTTTCTGGTGCTGTGTAATGTTATTTACAAGGGCAGGGAGAGAAATTGCTCTTTCATAACAGCCTAAGGGTGACATCCAGACACTTTTGGTCAAACAAAATGGCTGTCATAAGAATGTTTTTGGCCCTCCCGTATGTCAAGAAAACGCTCACGGTAAGTGACCCGGTCATCAGAATGTTACATTAGCAGTCTTGCCAAAGTCAGTCCTTTTGACGGCGTGCTGTAGACCAAAGCCTCACTTAAGGCCAGTACATTCAAGCAGAAGAATCGAGTGGTAAAATCTTTCTTGGATGATAAGTGAGAAGTCTTTGATGGAGCAAAGTGATGGTCATCTAGTTGTCATCTAGCTTTGCACAGTGACAATTTAAACACCTTTGGGAAGTTAACAATCAGGCCATGAGAGCTGGAGCAGATAAAGGTTACCTTTGGAGGAA